CTAAACCCTAAACCCCAACACCTAAGCCTTCTCGAGGGTTCGAAAGATTGTTCGGCTTTGGGGATGAGTTTGGGGGATTAGGGTTTAGGGTTGAGGCACTTCAGGGAGACCTCGTTCAAAAAGGGTTTAAGGTTGAGTTTGGGGATTGAATCTTGTTTGGCAACAGCGTAGAGGACCTAGGGGTCGCTGGCCAGAGGATTGTAGGTCCCCTTGAGCCAAAGCAACCATCTTGGTTCTTGCCTTCTTGCTGCAATATGAAGGTTTCAAGAATTATCAAGGGCTCCTTAAGTAGTATATTTAGAATAGATTTTTTCCCCAAGGCCCTATTCTAACTTTTGAGGTCACCATTATTATTTCATCAGCTTCGCGGGAACTTTGCTGTTAATGCTCGAACCCCAGAGCTTCCCCAAATCCTAGGCAGCATTAGGGAGACCCCTTTTTGAGCCCTTTATCTGGCTCTCTTACAAAGGGGACCTTATTGAGAGGGTTTAGGGTTTAGGCTTTCCCTACTTCTGGCTCTCTTAAAAGGCACCTTATTGAGAGGGTTTAGGGTTTAGGGTTTCCCTACTTCTGGCTCTCGTAAAAGGGCCCTTATTGAGAGGGTTTAGGGTTTAGGGTTTCCCTACTTCAAATCCGCAGGGGTCCCTAATCCTAACTCCCACCTAAAGCCGTACCCTGACACACCGTCAAAACCCTATTCCGGCTGTTGTGTTTTGGGTCTCCTCCCAAGGCCGTAATGTAGGAGCCTGAATAATTAATAATTAGCAAGACTATTTTGGGGGCTCCTTATTGTAGTTATACTTTAAAGGAGCCCAGCACCCTATTCCAATTATTAAGGGGCCTACATACCCAAACCCCGAGATACTGAGGCTGTTGTGCCTTGGCTTCGTCCACGGAGTGCTCCTAAGCTAAGCCCTACACCCTTAACACCTAAACCTTAAGCCCCCAGAGCCCTAAACCCAAAGCCCTAAATACGAACTGCGAAATGCCCTGAACTGCAACTCGAATTTGACCTGGGTGCTGCCTCCTCCTGGCGATGCTTTCGGCTTCCCACTTCTCAAAGCAAAAATTCTAACATAGGGGCCTTAATAACTAGAATAGGGTTTTAGGGTATATTATGCTATATACTAATAATTATATATAATAAGGGCCCCCAAACAAAAATAGTATTGGTGATTATCTAGGCCCAACAATAAGACAACAACACCAAGTTGTGCTCCTTTGTTACAGTTACAGTATAATACATTTCCCCAAACCCTATTCTAATCATTAAGGCCCCTACATCCCTACATTAAGCACACAGAATCTCTAAGCCCAAGTCCTAAACCCAGGGGATCATATCTGCTAAGCCCGGCAGCTCTCGCCCGAAATTGGACTCAGCGCATTTGAATCACTCGGCGGAACCTGTGGGAGCCTTACACCAGAGTTTTTGAACTCGCTTACCCTTCGTACCGACCCCGGTTGTATTCTGAACCCGAAGCTAAATTGTATTCTGAGCCCTGTAGCCGATGCACTAAACTCTCCTGTCAGGGCCCATCTTCGAAGGGGAAGGTGGCATAGTCTTCATGCACGAACGCCACCTGGCTGTCATGGACCGATGTTTTGCCCAGAGTGGGTTTGAGGAAGAAGTTGAACCAGTTCAGAAAGGCCTTCGTGCCTAAAGATAGCTAGGCAGTTAGGTAGGTAGACAAACTGACATGAAGACTGACAGCTAAAATATGTCGGGCATTTACTTGTCTTGTCAATACGTTCTTACTGGTTTCGCGGTGTGTCTCTTGGTGCGGGATGTGGGGGTCTTCTCTATTCAAGTTTTTTGCAGTGTGTACAAATTCGTAGGACGTATCCAAGTCTTTGCGACATGAAGTGTCTTCCACTCCGGGGCCTCACCACCCCAATCAACAACCCTAAAGCAACAGCAGGAAACTCAACATGTGTAATATAGGGCCTTAAGTCATTACCTATCCTATTTGGGGGCCGCTTATTATCATTATACTATAATGGGCCCCAAAAACCTTATTAAGGCCCTATACTACGGCGTCATTTGGCCGCGGGCCGCCGGACAGAAATAGTCTCGCCCTGGCCAAACTCTGAACCATAGCCAACACGACAACCAGAGGTTTGACCGGCTCCTGTATTAGCTAGATAGGGTTTAGGGTCTAGGGTTTGTAAATCCCTGGTTATGGCCCTTCAAGCATCGAAAACCCACCGAGGCAAGAAGAAAACGGGCGAACTGCGGTTTTGCAACAAGGAGATGTCTCTCGGCCTCCTCGGAGAAGCAGCTTTTGTTGGCGTTGCAGCCGGAGTTTAAGGCCAAGCTCCATGTGGTTTACCTGTGGCCTTAAAAAGACCTACACTTTTTAAGGAAGTATACCTTTGTATATATATATATATAGAACTCATAATAAGGAGCTATTAAAGAGGTAAGTCTTGTCGGCTACAGGTAGGGTTTCGGGTTTAGGGTTTAGGATCGTAGCAACTAGTAGTGGGATCCCCTTATCAGAGGGTCAGGTCTGGGCCTGCCACCACAGCATAAAACATAGGGGCCTTAGTAATTAGACTAG